TGCAGAAGAGCATCTCTGAACACACAACACGTCCAACCTTGAGGCGGATGGGCTACAGCAGCAGAAGAGCACACCGGGTGCCGCTCCTGTCAGCTAAGAACAGGAAACTGAGGCTACAATTCACACAGACTCACCAAAACTGGACAATAGAAGATTGGAGAAACGTTGCCTGCTCTGATGAGTCTCCATTTCTGCTGACACATTTGGATGCATAGAGATGAAGTTGGTTTTATATTCTCACATTCATTAATTAAACAGTCTCTATATTGTTTACCATGTTTCTTTGAATATTCAATCGGAAGTAGCATGCAAGTATACTTCTAAACAACATTAACACTATCTAATTCACTGTGAACAATGTTGTACTTTGATAGTCATTGGCTGCCAATATGATTTCCCTATTCAGAATTTGCAAAGAATACTTTTTTGAAATTATATTATTAAGGAGAATGTCTGAATATAAAACCATCTTTACCTCTATTTTGGATGGTCCGGTCAGAATTTGGCCTCAACAACATGAAAGCATGGATCCATCCTGCCTTGTATCAACAGTTCAGGCTGGTAGTGGTGGTGTAATGGTGTGGGGGAGATTTTCTTGGCACACTTTGGGCCCAATAGTACAAATTGAGCATCATTTCAACGCCACAGCCGACCTGAGTATTGTTGCTGACCATGTCCATCTCTTTATGAGCACAGTGTCTCCATCTTCTGATGGCTACTTCCAGCAGGATAACACACCATGTAATAAAGCATGAATCATCTCAGACTGGTGTCTTGAACATGACAATGAGTTCACTTTACTCAAATGGCCTCCACAGTCACCAGAACTCAATCCAATAGAGCAGCTTTGGGATGTGGTGGAACAGGAGATTGGCATCATGGATGTGCAGCCGACAAATCTGCAGCAACTGTGTGATGCTATCATGTCAATATGGAGCAAAATCTCTGAGGAATATTTGCAGTACCTTGTTGAATCTACGCCACGAAGGATTAAAGCAGTTCTGAAGCCAACCCGATACTAGTAAGGTGTACCTAATGAAGTGGCCAGTGAGTGTAAGTATATTTAACATTGAAATACCGCACTCTGTTGTTACCTGTTTATCATCCCTGACTTTTCCTAAAGACTCCTGCAGTTCTCTCCTCTTCTTCTTTATTTTCTCTCGTACATCACTGAGGACAACAGGACAACTTAAACTTAGAAACAGCCGTAAAACAGACTTGCTCTAAGCTTATACTCAAGTTAACGTATAGTAAAAAATAAAACCAGATTAATGTTAACAGTTACCCTGGCGATGACATTGTGCTCTAACGTTATGCATTTACTGACGACAGAAATCTTCCCAATACGTTACATCTCAGATCTTCAGTGTGGACCTCACAGCAGCTCCTGGATGAAAAGGTTCGTTAATAAAACACTCATAATGGAGGGATAAAGCCTTAGTTCAGTAAAGTTAAAGTTAGCAACAGCCTTTTATAAAGTGACGTTAGCCGAAATCTCTTATTAACAGCAGACTGTAGTCGCTCGATGCATGAAATAAACATTATTCTGCGCAAAAGACAAAAGAGAAACTTTCCAGATTTCAGAATTATTCCACTGAAATAGTTAGTAAATGTATTAAATCTGTATTTAGCTTTACCGTCGTGCGGCGTCTCGCTGCCTGGTAACGGGTGTAAATAATCTACAACCGAACATACGGTTTGCGTCCGGTCCATCCCTTTCACGTCAGCGTTTGTTCTCATTGGTCCACAGGCCCGTCAATCACCCAACTCTGGATACGTCACGCGGCAGCTCGAGCTCAAGCCTGCATGAGGCGAGGGTTAATTCTCCATAATCTATCCTGCTATACATGTTTTGAAAAGAATGAAGCTTAATCTTTCATATATGTGTGAATTTTGCGTTCAAGAAAAAGAAACAATTTTGCATCTTTTTTTTATCCACAAAAAATAACAAACATAGTATATACTTAAAATACTGTGTCATACTCTTTTACTCACATAGCCTACTAAAACCCTCATAAGAACTATACAACTTGAACAAGTCATTGGTTGTTACAAACAAATCTGACAAACAAACGTTCGCTGTATTTTTAGAAACACCCTCTGTGCAGAAAAACTACGGAGAATCGCAGTAAAGCTGTTGAGTTTTTTATTTATTTATTTTATTCTTTTTCTAAAGATTGCAAAATGACCTGATGTGGTGAGTATATATTTCCATTTTCTGTGATGTGTGTTATTTGATCCTCTTCAGATGGTTTTAATCATAATTCAGAAAAGGGTGTTTTCTGCATTCTGAGCTTTGGCTTTCGTGTATTTTTTCTTAACTCTAAAAACATCATACTCTTATTATGTGAAGAAAACGTAGAAAAACACTACGTTGATGTGCTGTAAAATACAGTAAAAACTGTACATTGATGCATTTAAATATTTCTTGACAAAATCATCTTCGCATAAAGATAGGGAAAAGAGCTTTCAAATCAACCATGCAACACATGTCAGATTTTTCTTCATAATAATCTTTTACGAGCACTTTTTGACAAATCTTTTGTTCAGCTTCGGGTCTCAGAACAGTCCAGATGGCTTTTCTCTGACCACAGAACAACTCTCCCATGACAAACTGAGTTCACAATCAAGAGGTGACTCATCGACACAATAAAACCAATAGAGTCTCTGTTCAAATCTTATTATATAAGATTTTATAAGAATTATATATAACTATATGGTAAAAAAACTGTTGTATTTACAGTGTATTTACATTATTTTGTAGTATTTTTATTCTATTCAGACTAAAAAACTGCATCAAGGTGCAAACATAGTCTTTAAATCACTATGAATGAGTGAAAACCGTTTCCCAGTACTGGTTTGCAGCTGTAAGGGCATCCACTGCATTAAACATGTGCTAGAGTAGTAGGTGGTTCATTCCGCTGTGGTGACCCCTGATAAATCAGGGACTAAGCTGATGGAAAATGAATGACTGAATGAGCAAAAAACAACGGCAGATATTCTGACTCTGATTGGCTGTTGTCATTTTGCTTGACTCCCGCCATTAGTGTTTGTAATTTATGTGTAGCTTAATGTAATTTGTCATACATCTCTGCGATATATATATATTGCATATACTTTTATCGTGATAACAACAATCTTGCAATACACTGTGCAGTTCTATACGCTTATTTCATGCAGCCGCCATTTTAAAGAACCAAAGCGAGGCTGCGGTGGGAAGAAACCCGAAAGTATAGAACCAGCACTGTGAAGATTGCAGTAACATGCTGTGTACTACAAACCTCCGGCTGTTCAAAAGATTTCAGAAATGTTGTAAACCACTTAAATATTATTCAGTAAGTTTAATTTAAACAATTAAAAGCATATTAGGCATAAAACAACATGACAATCTCTTTAAGAGTAATATGCTCAAGTGTCCTCCTTGACTTCAGCTCATGGCACCAGGTAAACACCAGGGGGACACTTTCCTGCTTCAGCCTATGTAACCCGGTGAGTGATAAACACTGCAGTCCTCTGCAGCACACTCTCGTGTTGTCTGTGATAGTGTTGTCCCGGTACTGAAGTTTTAAATCCGTCCATTTCCGCTAACATTGAAGGACCGTTGAGCGTGGATGACTCGACTGATCTTCACGGCTGCTTCGCACTCCGTGCTTCTGTGTTGGCACTCAGTTTACCGCTCTTCACCCGGTGCAAACACAGATAGAGGGAGACTGGAGCACGAAGCAGGCGTGAAGATGTCGAGTCATCAAGCAGATCGCTTGGCTCATCTGTGCTCGGTAAACAGTGGAGGAAAAACTGATGACCTTCTCGGCCAATCACAATCATTTCTGTTGAGCACGTGAACACAATGGCAAATCAGCGCTGTTTTAAGAAAGCCATCAACATTGCCTTAAATGTTAGCGGGAAAGTGACGGTTTTTCTTTTAATTTAGTATCGTGACAAGTCTGATATAGTGAAAGATTCAGTTCATTACCTCCAGTTTGATAAATGGCATCTAAAACGTGTGTTTGGGAAAAAAAACGTTAGCTAACTAGTGCCATTTCCCTTAACTTAGCTAAAAATAAGCTCTGATATCCCTTTTTACATTCACCATTCATTCAGAACGGACCTTCGAGTCACCCGGAAGGCAGAAAAATGATAGATTTATGTCACTTTATCTTCGCTGATAAGATATATAGCTAGTTACACAACATTCCTATGTAACTCCCAATGATACTTCCGGGTTTCTTCCACCGCAGCCTTGATTTCGCTTTTGAAAATGGTGGCTACGTGAAATCAGTCTATTAATTCCTACTGTCTAACCGTGTAGTACTGTGAGACAAAAACTCTGTGTTACACTTGCTGGATCCATAAGTGGTCAGTTTGTTTTGTCAAGAATTCAATTGCAAGTGTAGTTTATTTGCGAAGCTATCGCAAAATGGCATTCAAAAACAAAACAGAGTTCAAACGGCAACAGTCGCTGCCGGAATGAGAAATGTAAAGTGTAAATGGCCATAAATGTAAATGT